GAAATCATAAATTTGAAATGTTTTTTTGCCAAAAGTTCAACAGAAACTGTTTTATCATCATTTTTTCGCAGAAAAATTTATAATTAATTTAAAAAATTTAAAATTTCCCACATTTAGTATTTCAGCCAAATATCTATCTACTCAACGTGTTTATTTTTTTGTCAATAATGACATGTATTGACTATTTCCATTCGAAATGTCTTGAGAATGGTTGCTCCAAGCGATTTTTACCGAGATATATTTTTTACGTAAAAAGTCAAGAAAATGTATATTTTTTTACTCGTTAGTTTTATACAGGTATGGGCGAAAAGTTATTACTTTTCAAAACAGTTAAAACACATGTAGGTGGCGCCCCCTACAAATAAGAGTCATATTGACATCAAAATCAAGTTTCTCATGTCAAAAAACTCCCAGACACGAATTTTCAGCCAAATATTGACGTTACTTCAGAAATTAATTGGAAAAAATCGAAATAAAAATGAAACTTCTACACCCTGTATCTCCAAAACTAAGTATTGTAGGACATATATTTATACGAACTTTTTTACTTATTTTTATCTGCAGAGTATGCTGCCGAAGTTTCCGGAATACAGTTCGGACCACCCTCTATATAAAAAAAATGAAAATTTAGTTTTAAACTGCTAGTCATTTATCATAAGATAGCTCAATTTACGTAAATTTCATGCATTTGGATACAAATGCCACTCAGTTGTAAGTGAATGGCATTCATATTCAAATACATAAAAATTAGAGGAATTCTTGATTTCAACCCCCTGTATATAAAAAACGGTAAATGCAAAGTATACTAAACTATATATTTTTGAAATTAGCTAAAATATGTCTACCGGACCATGCTAAAATATGTGGGGGTTTCCATTTAAAAAAAATCAAGATGGCGTCGTATCTGTCAAAATTGACGTTTTCAAAAATTTTGATGTAGAGAATCGGCATCCTCGCGAAAAACTACATTAGAAAATCTTTCTACTATCTTTAAATACGAAACAGGAAAATTATAAATCGAGTGAGACACTTAAAATGATGTCCCTGTACAATGCCAAGAAAATGTACAATCATTTGCCTTCGAATATCAAGTCACTTTCATTCTTTCCCGCATTTCGCAAAGCTCTGAAATCATACTTACTGGAGAGAGCCCTATATGCGGTAAACGACTTTTTTGTTGATGTTTAATCATGAACAATTTAGAATTTTAATTTTAATATTTTGATCATCTCACACACTGGTTAAAGGTCTAGTATTTAATATTTTATAACTCTTGATTTTATGTTATTATAACATGATTTTATCCATTTACAGCTTTCCTTTTGTAAAATTTTCTAGATACGCCTGTGTTCTGCAATGTCCATATATGTTTTATTTGTAATTTTATGACGTAATTTTTTTTTTGAATTGATTTGTATTGTATGACATTTTTTGTATTATTTGTATATTTGTTTTTGTGCTTTTTTTGTTATGCTTTGTCGATGAAGGTGTTTTGGCTTTTTGTACAATAAAGCGTTGTTTTTTTTTATTCCATGTATGTCACTATAAACGAGATCTAAATAATAAGAAAATGCATTTTCTACGAAAACTTGAAGAAATAGATAGAAAATGGTATAATACAATGTTATAGACAATTAAATTGTGCATCTGATTCTCGTATAATATACAGGGTGTTCCATTTAATTTAAACAAGTTATTGCCATTGAAAGCTAGTAATTATTTAACATAAATTTTTGAACACTCTGTATAAGGTAATATAATTTTTATTATTGCAACATAATATCTGATCAATAAATAATCTTCAGTAAATATTTAATATGAAAACCTTTAATACCCCTGGAGAAATCAAGCCTTAATTTTTTTACTGCAATTTCACAAAATTGAAAATATTTCAAAAACGGTAAGGTTTAAGTACAATAAAACTTAATTAAATTTACTTTTATTTCAGTCGTAGAATCTAAAAATACAATAATATACAGGGTGTTCTATTTTAAAAAATAAAATTATTATGTTTTTTACTTATTTGAGCCACTCTGTATCTTGTAAAATTATTTTTAAATTGTAGCTCTAATAGTCCTTCAACGAACCCAAAACTTACAATTTGTAAAAATCTAATCGTTTACCTACAATACCCCGTGTCGTATGTGGTGAACAACCCTGTATATTCTTAGTTATACGATTGTATTCAAGGAATGTTCGTTGAGTTTTTAAAAGAAGATTATAATATGTTAAGCATTTAATTTTTCATTTAAATGAAAAAGCTTTTTATGTAGTTTTAGTAAAAGCGGATATTTTGATTATTGCAACTCTAGTTTTAAGTTAAACGACTGATTTATAATATTGGCCTTGTATGGGACCATGTTCCTTGCAAAGCCACTTGGAAGAGCTTAATAAAAGTTAAATTTAATAAATAGTGACTACATCTAGAATAAAAAAATGTGTTAATTAATAATTTGTTTATTTCATTTATCCAGTAAATAAACTGATAAAAACTGTTTATTTACAACCACAATATGTAATACTGACATTACTGTCTTTAAAAAAATTTGAAAGTGTCAAATTATCTACATTTCTTCCCTCTTCCCCCATTTCCCTCACTCGGTTTTTCTTATTTCTCGACTCATTTAATTAAATAAGCAAAATATTCTTGTAATATCTTTATTAAATACTTATCTAACATCAACAAAAATAAACAAGAAGATTAACAATAATAATTGAAAATTTTAATACATTTATTTGTTAAACGTAAAAATGCTAGACTTCTTTGGCTTAAAGCCTACATTCTGGCCTTTTAAAAAAGCGACGGGTTTGAGATATTTTGATGTCAGTCTTTTCCCTTAATTCTAGCATTTCCCGTATCACACTGTACGTAGCCCAAAGAGTAGATGGCTTTTTTTGCCATGTCGCTAAAATATGCCATCAAGACTGTCTCCGAAGCAATATTCTTAGCATTTCTTTCGGCTCACCATTTTGCGAATACTTTTAATGCTATTTCATATCGCCCCCTACTTTTCTCTGGAAGTAAACTGGCTTCTGCTCTTTTTGCAGCTTCTGTAAGTTCTGGTGGAGTACCAGTATTAAAGTAGTCTTCAATATCAGAACTTTCCGACAACATTTTGGCTTTCTATGTTATATAAATTCGAAAAATCGAACGAGAAATTCAAAACTGCCACTTAGTTGTTTGTTTTGCTGTTGAAAGTTTGCGCCATAACAACCACTGGTACCGGTAACTATAGATATGGAAATGCCAAAACAGAAAACGACAAATTTTCGCATATTTATTTTTTTTTCAAAATAAAATACTGTCCCTATTTTTTAATTAATGATGTGGTTGTAAATAAAATAGTATACAAACCTCGGAGGAAAGTTTTCATTATTGTCTCGAGATTTAGTTAATCTATCGACAGTAATGAAACATTTCCTTCCTCGGTATGTAATATACTATTATTTGTTACATTGACCTTTCATGGTCCACCCACCTTAGTATACGTCTCCGTGTTTATACTTTGCGGTGTTGAAAGAATACTTTGGGTGTAATTTCGAAGCAGTATGGCTAGATATAGACACTATCTACGTTTATACAGGGTCCGGCAATAGTGCGTCGGGCATAGGTAGCTACTAGAATAAAAAACTTGAGAATTTTGTTTAAGTGCAAACCTAAAGTATGTACCAGGATGTATTTCAGGAAAATATTTTAACTTCTATAGGGTGGCCCAAAAAAGTATGAGTGGACCTGAATAATTTTTTTTAATGAAACACCCTGTATATTCTTGCACTTTTATCTTCCTTTTAGATTACTTTACATAACCCTAAGATATGAATAAATATATTTCTATAATTTCAGAGATATTAAAAAATAAATCAAAAATATATATTTTTCAGCCCTTCTTAAAAAAAATACTAAAAATACAAGAACTCTTCTGAAATCAAAACTATATTAGGTATTTACTTTAGATGGTCTGTTCTTATTTTGCTATAAATATGGTAATCGTAAATCATACAGGATGTTCAATATTCTACGCCAAACTTTCTAAAATATAAAATATTTTTTCTTTGTTTTTTAAATGCAACACCCTGTATAATATTTTTTTATTAGATGGAGAGTTAAAAGATGAACATTTTTTGTATTTAGAGTATTTCAAAATTTTTAACGGTTTCGCAGATACACGCAGTATTATTTCATATTGCGCTTTCAATGGTAAAATACGAGAGAAGAATCATTGGGGTGGCTTTGATAAAAATTTACTGTGGAAAATGCAATATGAAATATAAAACCGCAAATATCTGTGAAACCGTTAAAAATTTTGAAATACTCTAAATACAAAAAATGTTCATTTTCTAATTATTTATGTCTATTGAAAAAATAAAATACAGGGTGTTCCATTTAAAAAAAACCAAGAAAAATTATTTGATATTTTAGAAAGTTTGGCCTAGAATATTGAACATCCTGTACGATTTACGATTACCATATTTATAGCAAAGTAAGAACAGATCATCTAAAGTAAATACCTAATATAGTTTTGATTTTAGAACAATTCTTGTATTTTTAATAATTTTTTTAAGAAGGGCTGAAAAATATATATTTTTGATTTATTTTTTAATATCTCTGAAACTATCGGAATATATTTATTCATATCTTAGGGTTATGTAAAGTGATTTGAAAGGAAGCCAAAAATTCAAAAATATACAAGGTGTTCCATTTAAAAAAAATCATCCAGGTCCACTCACACTTTTTTGAGCCGCCCTATAGCAGTTAAAATATTTTCCTGAAATACATCTTGGAACATACTTTATGTTTGCACTTAAACAAAACTCTCAAGTTTTTTATTCTAGGAGCTACAGATGCCCGACGCACTATTGCCGTACCCTTTATAACATTTTTTAGGAAGATAGTTAAAATTATTTTAAAATTTTTAATAAACAAAACCACTAAAGACCCGTCATAAACACCATTATCACTGCAACTTAAACACATTCTTTGAATACACATGTTCTTTTAGGATTTTAACGTATCAAAGGAACAACGTAATGTACAGCCGCCACAGCACACATCAGCCCAGTCCATGACAGCTGAAATCATGAAAACGCCTCTCGAACTGTGTTCCAGCTCTGTGGGAGGCCACCCGCTCCAGCACCAATCCAAGTCGTACCCTGGAGGACAACCCTTGCTCTGTCGCACTCCGAGCGCTTCCAGCCAGAGCAGCTTGGATAGCAGCAATTCCAAACAAGTAAGAATACTACAGGGCTCGCAGAAAATATGCATTAAATGCGATTTTTTATGCTATTTTTTACCTATAAACCAAATTTTTGTTTTCATATGCCGAATTTATGACCTAACCAATGCTTATTCTAGATCAAGTTATCTATAGATCATTCTTTTCTCGAAAATTATTAGAGATTGGCATAGGTTAGTATAATAGAAAAATATTGTGATATGGAAGTAGTTTCGAAAAATAAAATAATATACCGGGTGTTACGTTTAAAATAACAAAGATGCTACCACTTTTAGTATGAAACGCTGTAATGCTGAAAATAATTTAGACATATGGAACAGGTGCCTTTATACAAAAATCCAAAAATCACCGGTTCTCCATAAATATCGAATGTGCCATGGCTGTGAATCGCCCTATACCGGGTGCGTCTTGAAAGTGGGTCACACCAATATTTTTTTTTATTTTTTTAGACAAAAAAACGAGATTTGGTATGTTAGTATATGACATAAATTAGGATTTATTGACGTATTCAATTGTTTTTAGTCACTTGCTGTGTCACCGGAAATGACTACAACCATTGATTTTTAAATGGCACTCTGGGTATTCAGGCGTCTAAATGCAAAACCCGACATGTCCATTGAAATAAATTTTACATAATATACAAAAAATGATTTAAAATATTATGAATATAAAAAAGAATAATAAACCTAAAGCACTGAATTTATCTGGTCTTGAAAATATCTTACATAAAAATGTAGTCTAGGGAGTTTCTATTGGGATAACAAATTAAATGATTTATAGAACTCAATTTTCAAAAAGCTGTGACTTGTAAGGTTTTACATTTAGACGCCTGATATCATATGTCACTTTTTGACATTTTCGCTTAAAAAATTGTATTCTGAATTTCAATCTAGAATGCCATGACTGTGTTAAAAAAACACTAATTTTCAATCAAGGAGCCTTGGAAAAATAGATTTGATCGTCTAATGTTTTTCGTGTCTTGTCCAGGCCGGTTAAAAAATGCTCAAGTCGTAATTATAATCATATCTCAATTTTTTCAAATGGAACAAGGGTGGCTCATTAGCATATTTGAAAAAAGCATTTTTTACGAATAATTTGGTATCGCACACTTGGTATTTCGAGTCAAAATATCGTTATAACCGCATGTTACAATTTCGAATAAACCATATTCGAAAATATCAAAAGTTGACATATGATATGTCATTTTATTCAGAGCGTCATTTTCTATACAGGGTGAGTTTCCTACGATGTTCTCTATGGGTATATCGAAATCTACTGGAGATAGAGAGTCGGTTAAATGGGGAAAGAATTGCAGTTTTGTGGGGTCATAAATATTCGCCTTTCAGATTTTTGAAAAAGTTCATGGCTTACTAAATATTTCGAAAAAAACAAATTTCGGCTATTTAAAAAATTGTCTATAATTCCGTTATAAGCTATTTTAGACAAAAAGTTTTCAGATAAAAGTTGTAGATAATCACATCCTTAATGAGACCGTGTCCTCCATTTTTTTTCTAAAGCCTCTCATTTTTGATATATGACACAAACATATGTTTTTTTTAATGGAAACCATAGTTGGCCATGACTTCATACAAAGCGCCATTTTTTAAGCTTTTTCATGATATAAGCTATAATATCTTTTCTTCGAAAAATTACTGAGATATAGCCAATTCTTTTTAAACAATTTCACTTAGTTAGCCATGGAAACAAGTTCAATCGTCGTTGCTCTCAGATATGTTAAGCTCTCATATCCAAACTTTGTAAATTATGATATACAAAAATTGTAAATATGAATTCTTCAAATGAAGAAAAGCGTGTAGATACTCGCGCATCAATAGAGCGGTTCCAACATGACTTTCAGTATGACACACCACCCCCCACACTTCATAATGAAAGAGATTTTAAAAATTATTTATACAATAATTATACAAACGCAGGGATAGGAAGATGTGGACTAATTGCATGGGCCTCCTCGATCACCTGACCTATCCATTTTAGACTTGTTTATACGGTATAGTTAACAATAAGGATTTACAAAAGAACTTACGAATTAAGAGAGGCACTCGAAGTTTAATTAAGTCGACCGGTCCTTCTATGAAAATAAGTAGTAATTCAGTTTTAAAAAGATGCAACTCAAAACAATGGCGGATTTTTTGAACATTTTCTAAAATAACTTAAAGTGTATGTAGTGATATTATTTAAGTTTTAGTTTGTGTAATGTAAATTGTAAAGAACCGTTTAGTAATATATTCTGACTTTTTATAAGTTATAAATCATAACAGAATAAGAATACCATGCAATCTAAGTGAAATTAGTCAAGAAAGATAAGATTGGCTATAACTAAATTTAACTTTTCTAACATGTCTTGAAAACCGTTCTCTAAAAAACGTAACATTCACCGGTCAACGTATCCTCGAAAATGTATGGCCAAGAAAGGTTGAACCAATAATCCTACACGTTTTTCTTCATTTGAAAAATTCATATTTACAATTTTTGTTTATTTTAATTTACAAAGATTGGATTTGACAACTTCACATTTATGAGAGCAAAGACGATTAAACTTGTTTCCATGGCTAACTAAGTGAAATTGTTTAAAAATGATAAGAATTGACTATAAATCAGTAATTTTTCGAAGAAAACATATTATAGCTTATATCGATAAAAAGCTTAAAAAATGGCGCTTTTTATGAAGTCATGGCCAACTATGGTTTCCATTTAAAAAAAAACGTATGTTTGTGTCATATATCAAAAATGACAGCCTTTAGAAAAAAAACGGAGAACACGGTCTCATTAAGGGTGTGATTATATACAACTTTTATCTGAAAACTTTTTGTCTAAAATAGCTTATAATGGAATTAGAGACAATTTTTAAAATAGCCGAAATTTGTTTTTTTCGAAATAATCTAGTAAACCATGAACTTTTTCAAAAATTTGAAAGGCGAATATTTATGACCCCACAAAACTGCAATTCTTTTCCCATTTAACCGACTCTCTATCTCCAGTAGTTTCCGAGATACCCATAGAGAACATCGTAGGAAACTCACCCTGTAGAATAAAGTAGAAATATACCCAGGGTGTCATTTAAAAATAAAAAGTTGTAGTCATTTCCGGTGAAACAGGATGTAACCAAAAACAATTGAATGCGTCAATCAATCCTAATTTATGTCATATACTGACATACCAAATATGGTTTTTTATCTAAAAAAATTAAAAAAAAATATAAGGGTAAGTCACTTTTGAGAAGCACCCGGTATAGTATGCAGTTTTCGATTTTTTTTTAAATAATGGGTTTGATTCGCCTTTCGCAATTTTATTAGGACATCTTTGACATTTAAATTGACATTATTTGTGTCTGCCACAAAAATTAAGAAATTAGTAAGTAAGAGTCTTAATTAAATTTTCAATATATTTTTTTTTCTACCGTTTGATCGAAAAAAAAACGGCGTCCAGTTGGCTGGAAATGACGATCGATGACAATTCCCATATAAATTTACATATAAAATGACAGCGATATTCATTTCATAGCCAACGCTGACGCCGTTTTTTTTCGATCATACGGCACTTTATTAGCAAATACGATTAATTTAATATACTGATGGAGCTGAACTATATTTAGCCTTTATTGTATTACATATAAACTGTCATTAGTTAAAATTAAGTTTGAAACTAGCAATCGCCATCTAATGTAATTACCTGATGAGGTAAAACCAAAACTTTTTAACGTGGTTATATAATGTATCATAGAATACTATAGTATGATAAACATATATTATTATAGGAAACTTTAATTATTTATATGATTAGCTAATTATTTATATGAATGTAATATTATATATAATAATTATTAATATAGTTATTGACAAATATTTTATCTATACTAATATATAAAATCCTTAAGTGACTGACATACTGATTAATCACGATTCTGCTCAAACAACTCAACGTAAGAAGCTCAATTTTGGCATACAGGTTGATTCTAGGGTGTAGAGGTTCGATAAGAAGGGATTTTTCGAAATTCCAGTTCCAAGAGGGTGAAACCTCCCTTCAAATATTAGAATATTTTTTATTTAAAAAACGGTAAAGTTTCCAAAAAAAACGCTTAAACACGTATATTTTATTTTGTTTTTTTACATATTTTAAGATTTTTTATAAATTTATACAGGGTGTTTCATAAAATATGACCATTGAGTAATCACGATTCTGCTTAAACTGCTTGACGTTTAAAGCTGATTTTTGGTAAACGGATTGACTGTGGGGTGTAGAGGTTCGATTAGGAGGGGTTTCTTGAATCTCAAATTCCAAGAGGGTGAAAACGCCCGTCAAATATTATAATATTTGTTATTTAAAAAAGGGTTAGTCTTTCAGGAAAACGCTTGGACAAGCATAATTTATTTGTTTTTTTACATATTTTGAATTTTTTTAAAAAATCATACAGCGTGTTCCAAAAAGTTGGGTAATTTCTTAACCACGATTCTGCTTAAACTGCTTGACGTAAAAAGCTTATTTTTGGCAAACGGATTTTTCGAAAGTCAAATTCCAACGAGATGAAACTACCCCTCAAATATGACCAAGTTATATAATAATATCGCCATATTGTTGTTTCTCATGCTGACATAAATGTGAGAAAATTTTATCCAGTTTGTATGTAATGGAAATTCTTGCTTTGCTTTATCATCACCATTACAAATGATTAATTCGACGCGAACGAAGTCGCTGGTACACGCTAGTGCATTATAAATTAACTAAATATCTACAGATGCATGTAGAATTTATTTATCTATTATCCATTTATCTATATTTGAAACTAAAATGACCCATTATATTTTCTATTTAGCTACAAATATGGGTAGGTATTTGTAGCATATAGGGTGGTCCAATACAAGTCCAATATCGTCGTTGTTGACAATGGTATGAAAGAAAGTTTTATATAAATGTTATAAATATTGTATGGTTTATAAAGGTGCATATCTTAAAAATATTTTGTTGTATACAGGGCA